CACCGCCAAAGACCGGCAGCAGGGACTGCAAGATCCTTGCAAGTTCCTTGCTCCTGCCACGGCCAAATACTCGGGGATCGTCGTTAACATTAGTGTTATAGGGAAATAATAACGTTTCTGTCTATTTCACCTAAGTAGATCTCTTGCATCTGTCTTATTTTTTGCCCCATTGTATGGAGCCGGTTGACTTGGAGAAGGCGCACTTTAATCCTGGGAATTTGGAATGGCTGTTATTTACCTTCATAGTTGTCGTCTGAAATGTATTTGGTGCAAATGGTGCAAGCAAGTGTTCACCGCCTAGAAATACGGGCTTGTACTGTTTTTTTCTCATGAGAGTCAATATTTGCAGCTGGGCCTGCACAGGCATTTGGCTTTGCTTATAATAGCGCAACTTACCTTCATGTAGTGCATCGAAAGTTGGTACCCATTTTCTTCTTTATTCGCAATTTGTGTAATACCAAATAGCAGGAATTTCCTGTTTTAACCCAGTTAACAACTGAAATAGACCTAACTTTCAGTCAAATCTAAGCTAACGTTACTGTTACAAAGGATTGAGTTGTTTCTGCACTCCATGCTTTCACGTGAAGAATTTAGAATTGCCTGAAAAGATATTTACAATTTGCGTATTTTTATAGTTGGCCTTTAAATGGTAGCACAAAATGCTTCTCTATGAAGTCCATGATGATGTTTACTTTAATTTTATGTTCGTCTCTTTTCGTCCTTTAGGGTTGGTTGAACTTCGTTTCCGCCACTTGCCTTTTGCCCAAACCTCATTGGGCGGTCCTTATATTCCTCGTCTCCTTCGTTTCGACTTTGTTATTCCTTGGTCTTGTATTTTACTCTCTCTCTCTTTCTCTCTCAACTCTTTTGGATTTGTCTCTTCTCAGATTTCTTATTTTTTTGTGCCCAGAAATTCAAGGATAAATTCTCTTCTCTGGATACATTGTCATTTTAACTAATTTTGTCTCAATATCTACTACTACTTATTTCTATAAATGTACTTGATTAGGGTTCCGATACCAAAAGAACATGACAGTAATGACAGAGAATGTATAACAATTTCGCCATTTAAGTTATTCAAGAAAGCCCTAATAGATTGTGAAAATGAGTCAACTCTTCATCATTATTCTTCTGCTCATTCTGGCTATTGCCAGATTTTCTGCTTGTTTCGCCTTGCGTTCATACTTTCCTAGAATGGTAGTTGCATTGGTTGAATTCTGAAGAATTTTGAATATGTATTTTCAATTTTCACCTCGTCAGTAGTTGATTTGCCACTAAATAGCCATTTAATTTGTCCTTTAAGTTAAGCCAAATTTCAGAGTGTCCAACCAATGCTGGCGTGTAGACTCTTGTCGAACGAAATTCATTCATCTATTTATTACTCTCTAATGATAGCGTTACTCGCTAGGCTTCTGAAAGTGATCTGAAATCTCGCATAACAAATATTGTTTAATGCCACACAGTGTCATGCGACCTCTCCTGTGTATTGGTGACCATTTGGTTCGGACTATAGGCCTCCGGCCTTATAATTCAACTGAGTGGCACAATTGAGAGCAGAAACAGTGTTTCACCCAATCCTTTTGTTACTCTGACTATATCTTGTCTAACATTTCGTCAGAATTTATTGTTTTTAGAGAGGTGTGTATATTACCACTGACTTTATTGGCGAAATCATTATCCTGACTCGGATATCTATTTAAGCAATTTACTAAATTGCACGTTTAGCATTGCATTAAGATAACTAGATTAAGGAGCTGCAAACAGACTATTCGCAGTGATTTGCAGCAATCGTGAGCTCAGTCGTATAGCAAATTAACTATGCATAAAACGAGTCAGGATACATCTGACAGCAGCTAGAATTCCCTAAATTCTATATTATCTTTCTGGATTTACTTTTTTCTGGCACGTGCATCCCCAATAAGTCTGGCAAAACAAAACAATAGTTTTTCGTTTAACAAGTATTTTTTCGAGATTACCAGTAGATCATATGTATGCGGTATATTAACTCAATTTCGTTTAAACTTATCGAGGCATTGTTAGTTGATTTTCCAACAATCGTATGAGTAGGCCTTGTGTTACATTAAATTTCACATAGCCTTGCTTTCCCAAGAGGTATTTTCATCCAAAAAAAGGGAACTGCAGTTTCCACCTCGCCCCAGTCTCATCAGCACCTGCAGCGGGACTTGAACCATGACAGGGCGGCGTATAAACTCGACGCGTTAACCACTTCGCCGCATTTCCACGAGTGTTTTTGCGTCAGTGCAGGTGTGAATTTAAAGGGAGGCCAGGCAATCTCTCCTATAACATTCTATGATGGGATTTTTGATGATGCAAAGTTGTATTTGCAATCAACTTCTGCTCGGATGAGAATACCTTGTGGGATAGCAAAGCTGTGTGTAATTCAACGGAAATGTCAGGTCTACTCAAATGATTGTGGAGAAATTCAACTGCTAGCCACCTGATCACCTTAAACGAATTTGGGCGAATTCATCTCATAAAACAGTAATTGTTTGTGCCGCCTGTGTTCTTGTCTACTTTCCTCCTGCGAAGGTTGTGCCAACAGCTCCTTTCGAGGCTCAGTTTTTAAAGAGTAAAGCAATAGAATTTCAATGTTTTACATCCATATTAGCTATCCTGAATTGAAATTTGTTTTATGAGCTAATCTACAATGCACTCGACAACTCTGGATAATTTAACGAGTCCACTTCAAAGCCTTAATGTGCTACTCGCGGTTGTCTTGCCTGCTACACTCCAGAAGGTTCATTATCACTTTCCGAGTATCCTAAAAATGTTTATCAGCACCATTTTGAGGACATTGATATCAAAAGGTTAGGATGAACTTCCAAGCCATCACCGTGCATATGTTTTAGGGAAATTCGAATGCTAATCGACTGTACAAGCCTGAGCTATGCATACAGAGGGGACATATTTTTACCTGCATAACTCCGACTTCCTTGTCCACGATTTTGTGCTTATAAACCAATATGCCACCATTTCCAAGATAATTTTCTTATTTAAAATATTAAAATATTGATGTCGTGTGATCAAACGTCAGACAGGCTTGCTCATTAATTACGTAATTATTCATTTTTCTTCACCCTTTAAACAACTATTAGCCTTTTCGCTTGGAATTTTCACGGTTCGCTGTACTTTTTCATACCATATCTGCATATCCAGCTTAATCGTCTTAAAGAAACCATTGGCTTCATCTAGGATGTCATGAGGTACTCCTGAATTGTCAATGGCCTTTCAAGCTCACCAGAGGATGTCTTCGCAATTCGCTTCTACCAAATTGTTCAAGGTGTTTTAGCAATTCTTGCAGGAACAGAGTTTTATCTTTTCATTTATTGTGTAGTTTTACAGAGGCCAATTTGCTCACAGTTAATGAATGAAGAGATGTAAATTATTGCTTAGGCCAGTAGGTTCTCATTTCCAAGAGCGAAGAGAATACGCTCTGGTCTTTTACACAAAACAGTGTGGTCTTACAAGAATGGGCCACGTTCTCTCATCATTTCTCATTTTGAATTACCTCCATTATCAGCTTACGTAAGGTCGGTCTGGCGGTTTCAATGCTACTGCAGAGATTCACACTTGCTATGAAGATCAACGAATTAAATTATTATTAGTAGTCAATAAACAAGGACTTTGATTTTGCATACATGAAATGTGGTTACCTGTAACACTCAGTTCCTTGCAAGAAATGTATTTGGATTCTGGTCCGGTGTTCTAAGGTCTTTATCCCGACTCTTAATTTCAGCGATATTTCATTTTTCAATCCAAGACGATAATTTACAAATTTGTAGTTTCTTCCGTCCTTTTATACGTTGAATAAATTGAAAATACAATCCCTTGATAAACTATCAGCGAATACGATATAGGCTTGATATAGGAACTATTATAGAAGCCTTCGAAGTACTCTCCTTATTGTATGCCTTCATTAGGCATTTGCATCCTTATGCGACTCCTAGATGAGATTGTAGTAATGCCTTTAACGACCAAAGATTTCTTTAGCATCGGTCACTACGGCAACTTTACCTTTTCACAATCCTGATACCTGAATTTTTTTGACCGGTTTCAAAGTAGAGTTCTTGTACTGTGAGATCGTACCGTCTTGATAGGTAACTCATCTCTTGGTTGATTTTTCCTATTTACCATCTGATGCATATCGAACGAGGACATATTAATTAGCATCCTCATGGTCATATACTAAACTCTGCGCAAAGAAAGAGATAATCCTATCAAGTGTCAGGTCTCCCTTGAAATGCTTGCATGATCTTATCTGTTACTGGCAGTTATTCTTTAAGAAACGGTCTGTTTCAGCTAAGGATTATTTAATCCCCGTGTATTAACTTGAATCGCACACTTAAATACTCTCTATCATGCACTTATCATTTATCTTTCGCTCTCTGCGACTGAGAGAGCAACCATTCTTACTTACCTCTCAGCTGTCTGAATCAGCTGATTGACTTCCTAAGCCCCTCCATCTCAAGCCTCGTATGGCCTCACCAACAAACCATAGACATGCCACGTATTTCGTTTAATCCCTGTATATACGAGCGCTTCGCTAAAGCCAACTGCTTCAGCCAATTTTATATGATATTTGGATTAAGAGAAACTGAACAGCATATGCTTGCGATCGTTTATCTCTGATCTTCAGGCAACGAGTTAGATTTTACATGCATGCATGCGTTCCATTACCGTTCCAACTCGTTACCATCTCTATCAGTATATTTATATATTGACTTCATATATGCCATATTTTCTATATTAGTTATCCAATTATGCTCACTGCCCTGTTGTTCACCAGGTTTTGATGCTGACTCTCCAGAATGACCCACCCGATATCGATACGGTGGCAACGGTAAGCAATCAATATGTCAACTATGGGCAGAAATTCCGCAAGTTCACCCGCGCGTGTCTCGTAAAGGATCCTTCACAACGCCTCTGCGCCCGAGAACTTCTTAATCACCACTATATCAAAGCAAAAGCTAAGGTGATTTATTTTTCATATATTTTATTGCATTTAGCTTCAATTTAGCTTTATCCTTTTATTGATTACATCCACAATTAAAGAAAAATGAGATTATGCTTTGACGCCTGGTTTTACCTCGTTTTGGCTAATTAGTTTGATTACAAGATACCGGAGGACACACTGTCTTCTCTACTAGTCTAGTCTCCCAACCTTAGAATACTGGCCAGGTCCATCAGTTGGCATCGTCAGTGTGGAAAGTCGAAAAATCGTATTTTCTTACTTGTCAAAGTGACTGCGGCTTATTTTAGTTCTCTAAGTACTCCATTTTCATGTCCTTACTATTTAGATCGTCTTTCTTATTCTCTACTGCTTAAAGTTATCTTCCTCCCCATCATTTCATACCCGAATATACATAATGAAGAATTATCTTCTTTTATAATAGAGGACATGCTATCTTTGTGTTCTTTATCTCTTTCCCCTTATTCGATGACTTCAATGCATTTGGGTATGAAGACTATCATTCTCACGAGCAGTTATTAAAAAATTATTCTCACTCATGCTTGGTTAAGACGCTGAGGTAGACATACCCATAGTCGTCTCTCTGGTCCTAATCTTAGAGGTGGTTGGTTTTAAGTCAGTGTTTCCCAAACTTTTCCTAGTCGCGGCGCCCTTTTTCAATTAAAATTTTTTAATGGGGCCCCATCCTATTAAGAGATAAAATAAATAAAACTCGTGTATCTTCATTATTTTTTTACTTTACTAACATTAAATTAATAATTAATGTAATGGGTGAGCCTGCAAATCACTGCACATTTTCTCAAATCGAAGCTTTTACAATATTTCGTGGCCCCCCTGTAAAGAGGCCGCGGCGAATAGTTTGGGAATCACCGGTTTATGTGCTTATTTCCTATCATTTTAGCGCACACACATTTTACAGTTTTCACCGTCTTGACAAGCTTTTTCCTTACTTTCGTTCCATCCGACTCATTTCTCTTTTTCTCACTATCCACGTGGCTTCACTCCAGCAGTCAGGTATGTATTGGACGAGCTCAGGTGATCAAGCCATCTTGATCGGATGTCGGTATTATATTATCATCGCCGTGATCAATCCGTGTAAAATAATTTGAAATTTTCCGCTGAGATCTACCGGTTCTTTACTATCCACCTTCAAAAGCAACTGGCGCAATCCTGTCCAGCTTTTGATGCCCCCCAATTTTATGATTTACTCATCTTTATCTCTTCTGTATTCACCCTAAATAGCATAAAGTGATGATAGACTGATAGGTGAATTTTCCCACAGCTATATAGACATACCTCATAGTCCAATGCTAATATCTGTTTGGATAGAAGGCTAAGTCAAAGTAAATTGCATTGTGAGGCCTACTCGTTTGATCGTGGGAAAAATTCAATATTTCGTCCATTATTTTATGCGACCTAAAGTGAATACAATTATAATTTCTACCAGTATTCTGGATAAAAATTTCTATTTCTTTTCCAAAATGCAACAATCGGATCTTTTAAAAAATCACATCGACAGACTTAGGATTAGGTAATATTTGCAGCCAAAGATGCACTTTAGTGCTGATAGCTTTTCTTCTATTTATTTTTTTTGAACCTAAATTATCTTAAATATGAAGACAAAGATATTATGGCCTATATTTTGGTTATATCTCCATTCTATGCATAGAGGTGATCTGGCCTCGTTTTCACAACTTGATCCTCTTGTCTGTATGACCTAGATGGGCCCACCCTGTCTGAGATCTTCTCTTGTAGTAGTTATGACTATTCCTAGTGCACTTGGTGTATTTCCAGACGTTCCTTCGGCATCGTCAGTGCATATTTCCACTCTCACTATCAAACTACAACTTGTCAAGGCAACCAGTGGGATCAATCCCTTGACCAACTTTCCGCTAAACAATTATGCCTTCACTCTTTCTGTTCCCCTCCACTCTATCACAACTTCTGACTTGTTTATAGTCCACTCCTCAAGGGGTGTGTCCTTTTGGCACATTTACCGTGTCCGCCCGCTATTTGCCTTGTCCCTCCTCCCTATCGTGTGACTGTTCCGACTCGGGCCTCCTATCCGGATCTGCCTTATGGGCCCGTAGATCCGTTTCTTATCTTTATAGTTGACCGATTTCCAGTCCCAGTGTACGTTTTACTCTGTTCGCTATCTCTCTATCCTCTATAGGCACATATACTCTCGCCCCGCCGAGAAGAGGGTCTAGGCTCCGATCCCCATTCTTCAAGATGTCAGACATTGTCTTCACGGCTCATTTTGATTCATCCCATATACCCTAAGCAAGCTATGAAAGTCTATTGTGATATGACTTTTCATTTTGAAGGCAAATATGGTTGGAGAGAGTTTCTGGTGTGGTCCCATCGGAAACCAAAGGAGGATTACCAGTAAAGTGTTGTATTGTTCTCAGAAATCCTCGGCTCACTGTCCTGCTGCCCCAATGGACTTGTGCTAATCTTTCGTCTGTACCACCATTACGGGCATCATCAGAGAAAGAATCCATACTTTAAATATACTAAATCAAGAGAAAAGGTGACTACAACCCTTGTCGCTTTTTTATACACCTAATTTTGCGATCTTAACGAGACATCCCATGATTTGGTTGGCCACCTAAAACTTACTCTACATGCTTGCAAGTGAGTGAAGTTATTTCACGAACCGGAAGTGCGTTCAGTGGCAGCTGATTCCTGT